ATATATTTTTCATGTAAAGGTTTTTATACTTACATTTCCACAGTAACGACTGACTTTATTAGATTCTAATTCATCATGTGTATTATATACTTCTACATAATTCGAGGTGCATCCAATTGTTGAATTTAATTCAAATACATCAAATATTAGTGAAACTGTATGTTCTCCAACAACTGATATATACCATCGACATTCTGAAGTCTTATTATAAAAACCAGGAAATCTAGGACTTGTAAAAGTTCCATTGATAGTAGTAAAATTTCCTCCACATCCTGGACCTAATCAAAATAAAACAATTTTATTTTATTTTCAGAATACAATGTAATATAATTGCAATACTATTGACATGAAAATAAAATCACCATTTTATAACCATAGGAAATGTTTCATTTAAAATTATTATATCAGAATCACATTGTTATTTCTAATTCTTCAAAACTGAAGACATAATAAATCATAATAATACATTATGTCATTAAATCCACAAAGCAGTTTTCAATGTTTAACTTTGACAGTTGAATATCCAAGGCAGTCTGCCATCCTGAAGGACCCGATTCAAATCCAGATTTGGAATCTTAAATTTTTATGGTGGTTTGTCTTAAACACTATCATAATCATGAGTTTGGAAGGTCAAGCCCTTCACTTAATTAGGAAAAAGTGAATAAAGATGTTAAATACAAAAAAATAATTTAATTACAGAGTTAACTACTGAATTAATAATTTACATGTTTGTTACAATCCATTATATTAAGTATTAGAAGCAAAAATTTATTAAAATGTGTAGTGATTCATATTAAATTTTATCTTGAGCTCTTTTGTTTGTTGGATCTGGTTATGTTACTTGTACTGGATGTCAGGTCCTATTTCTCAACACCCTGCTGCCCCTATTATAGGCCTGGCATAATCCATAATAAACAAATTTTGCTTTTATATAAGGCTGTTAATTATCTGCCATTGAATATTCAATATGTAATTTTTAAATTTTCGCTAGATGATGAAATTTTTTAAAGAAAATTTCATCATCCAGCAAAAATTTGAAAATTAAAAAAAATTGATAATAATTCGCCGCCAGAGAGAGGAAAGAAGATAATCTACTTTAAACAGCACAAATTTCCAGTAGATATAAAGATCCGAAACTCCCAAACGGAGAATGATGAAAAAATCAAGACGTCGTAAGGTCATCAATGCCAATTTTAAAAAAATTATTACTTTTTAATTGGTTTGTTTCTATGTTTTAAGGAACTTTTTCCAGGACGACCACATAGCCTAAAAAGAAAGGTTGGGTCATCTGAAGTTTTACTAAGGAACATTTAAAAGAAATGATGATCACCCAAGTTTTTAGAAACAACTACATCTTTTTTACTTTTTATTCAATATGTGTTAAATATAGTGAGAAATACAAACAAATTTAATACACAAAGGCATTTAAGATTTCTTCTTACTGATGTGAAAAATGATAATTATGTCAATATACAGTTCAATAATCAGAAAGTTATCATAAAAATAAATACTTTATTAAATTAGTGTATAAAACATTTTATAATCTATTAAACTTTAAATTTCTTAGTATTAGTATTTTTATTGACAATTTATGTAACTAAAAATAAAATAAAAAAATAATAAATAAATACTATACCTTGATCAGTAATGGTATACATAATAACAAATTTAAGGGGATTCTGCGGCCGTATTCGTAATAACAAATTATTTGAAGAGGAAAATACAGGATTTGATATTCTATTACAGAAGATTCCTAACAATGGTGCAGAAATATCAGAGCCATTATGTACCTGTAAAAAATAAAAATTATAATTGGGCTGCAATTTGAAAAAATTCTGGACCTGTAAATTCGCACTGTCGTCTGTTTGTCTGTCCTTCTGTAATCTCAAGAATTATGTTAAATTTTTAGCGCAAATACCAACGGAAAAGAAAAAAGGGGGCGGAAACAGCTAAAAATTTTTACAGTTGTATTGCATTAAAATTTACCTAAAAGGGAAGATTCTGGAAGATTTTAACCTTTTAATTTGTAATATATACTAGTTTATTTACAAAAGATTAAAGCAGATTTTACATGTTTTTAAATTATACAAAGTGTAACCAAAAGTTGATTGAAGAGGAGCAAAGCCTGAAACGAGTACAAAACAATGTACCGTATCAACTCAACTAATAAAGGAATTTGATGGAAAATTTGCCATCTGTCTTTGGAATAAAACACAATACTAGTGTTTACTATGCCACAATAATTTTCTTTAACAAATTTGAAATTGTGTCTTCTTGTTTTCTTTGTTTCTTCAGCATGTGCCGAAGATACAAAAAAAAAATTTAACATAAATTACTTCCAATAATTTTACTTACTTCCAATCCAAGATTTTCACAATTAGCAGGTGCATTTCTATAGCTTCCATGAAATTCTTGAAAATATAAACTTATGGCATAATTTTCTGGAGCATGAATAAATACATTACAACTATCTGGATAATAATACCTCCATGGATATCCCATGTTATAAATCATTCCATTAGGTTGAGTGTAATTTTGAGGACATCCTGAAAAATTGATAAGATATAAGTATATAAATTCAATAAAGAGAAATTTGAGTTGCTAAATGTTATGTTGCATTTTCTTCTCAATTTAAGAAATGAAAAATATTGGCATTTTCATTTATATTAATACACTGCTGGCCACTAAAATTGCAACATCAGGAAGGAATAATCGTATGAACATCAAAATCATATGAAAGGAAGAAGAGATTGGGATATGCAAATGATTAATATTTCAGTGCATTTAGACAATGCAGGAGGGACGAACAACATTTGAAGCACTGCATAAAAGAAAAGTTGTGCAGTGGATTTCTCATTCGGAAATCACTTTGAAATGTCAGAGTTTCATCATAATATTGTGTTATGTCTCGAATAAGAAGAAGAAATGCTTACCAGCAAGTGTTGGAATTTGATAGAGGCAAGATCATTGCCTATCAAGAGTGTGGATTATTGTCATGGGCGTAGCCAGAGTTTTTTTCTGGGGGGGGCCTAGTGGAGGCCAACCTGACACAAAATTGAATTATTTCAAATTATTGTTCATTATTGGGCACCGAGCAAGCCGTTCACCCTTTTTTAGTATTTAAAACTTTTATTTTAGCTTTAGGTTTTTACAAATCGACTCAACACTTTTTCGGCTGTGATTTCCTGGGGGGGGCACCAGGTTCTCTGGGAGGGGCTGTGCCCCCCCCTGGCTCCCCCCTAGCTACGCCCATGATTATTGTTCCGTGATATTGCCACTCACACTGCTTGAAATCCAACCACTGTCATGCGAATATGGAATCGATGGGTTGCTGAGGGTCTTACTGAACAGCATGCAGGATCTTGATGCCCTCTCATGACTAATGCCTGAGAGGACAGACATATTCTGAGATCGGCTGTGAAAAACCGTACAACCACATCACGGACCATTAGTCAGAAAATGAGCTTGTTTGCATCACGTCCAGTATCTGCTTGTATGGTGCAACGACGCTTGCAGCAGCATGAACTCTCAGTACGGCGACCATTACTTCAGCTTTCCTTGACAATGCAGCATAGAGAGAGATGGTGACTCTGGTGTGCCCAATGACAAAACTGGACACAGGAGTGGCACAATGTCATCTTTTCAGATGAGTCCCAGTTCTGCGTGTAGCATTCTGATGGCTGTATACATGTCTGGAGGCTCCGAGCAGATTGCTCATCGCCTGCTTGCATTTGATATTGGCTTAGGGGCCCTGCACCTGGTGTGATGATATTGGCAGCCATTGGGTACACAACGTGCACATCTCTAGTTCAGATCGATGGTAATTTGAACGCAGATCAGTACATTTCTGACATCTTACATCCAGGATAGTTGTGCCCTATCTTTGAGGCCTGCAAAATGCCATCTTCCAACAAGATAATGCAAGACCTCATGTTGCACGTCGTGTTCTGACCTTCCTCGATACAGAGGATATTCAATTGTTGCCCTGGCCTGCATGGTCTTCAGATCTCTCACCAATTGAAAGCATTTGGTCATGGGTTGTTGAGAGACTGGCCCGTCACCCCTCTCTTGCTGATGAAGTTTGGCATAGACTTGAAGCAGCATGGAATGAGTTGCCCGTTTATGTCATCCAAGCTCAGTTCGATTCCATGCTTAAACGGATAAGGGCTGTTTTAGCCACCTGTTTATGAACAATAAATATCTTTTTTTTTATTTGCTTTACTTCTTGGTGTTGCAATTTTAATGGCCAGCAGTGTATCTGGAAATAGGCCAAATCCATGCTCTTTATCTAAATTTCCTATGAAGACAGGGTAATTTTTCTCAAGTAGAACTAAATTGAATGCTTAATCTCAGTTCATTGAATTTTATGTCATATAAAAAGTCTCAATTCACAGAACAAACTACAGGAAAAAAATTGGATGCTATTATTGCTTTAATTAAATCTATTTATATGGTATTTCTACATATGCAAATTGAAGAATCCAGAGACATTTTAATATCAGATCTTCTAACAAAAATTGTTGACACTGTTAGAGAGATTCGTGGTGGGGCAAAAGGTGTGGTTGAAAAAAGGGATGTGAAGAAAAGTAAATTTGCAGAGAATTACAAAGGGCTGTTCCATGTGATCAAAATTGTAACCCTACAATATACTGTATAGAAGGGTGTAATTTTAAAGATAGAGAAATGGTCCATGTGGATCGATTAAAGATCTGCTATGGTCACACTGAATCAAGAAGGGGCAGTAAGAGTAGGCAAAACATTCACAGAAGAGAACTGAGAAAGCTTGAGATGGAAGAAGAGGAGGATACCCAAGGGTATAGGTGGGTTAGACTACCTGGGGCAATAGGGGAAAAACACATAATATTGATAATATTCGTCCAGGCAAGGATGGTGAGGGAGAAGGTGTGCATGGGGGACGGTACAACTTACGTCACCAGCAAATTGACTTCCGTCGTTTACACAACAGTAATTGACATCTTCCGAGGGGAGATATGTAGTGCTTCATGACTATTTTTTTTTGTTTCAGTTTTTTCCCTGACCCCTTCTGTTTTGTTTGTGGCATCACCCTTCCCAGGTTCACCCTATGTTGGCCGTCGGATTGGTTAGTATTAGTAATGTGAAGAGGATATCCACTTGGCGCAATATAAAAGGCTGTGACCCATGTGTCGGAGGACCTTTTTCTTTATTTTTCTTGTTCCAGGGTTTGTGGTGTTCGGGCCATGTGCGAATACAGGAGATTGAGACGCTTAGCTTGAGAGGGTCGGGAAATGAAAATAGAGCTGGAGATACAGCAATCCATTTACATCCAACTAAGAATAGTTTGACATCGAGTTACAACATGTTTGAGAGAAAGAAAATAACCGGAGGATTCATCCGAACAGATTAGTTTGTAAATTTTTCTTTGTTACATGCCTTTTGTTGTTCTCCTGTTATAACGTGTCATGAGCCCCCTTAAATTAAAGGAGAGGAGGGAAGCGTGTAATGTGTGTAGTATTTTATTGTGCTACGTGAATACTGTAAAAATTATCAATTTTGTGTTCTATGTATATATCGCAATTGTGTCAAATGGGAATTAATTAATTAAAAGCTATTATATCTGTCAAGCCGACTTGTCCATTATTTTTTTGTTTAGTCCTGCAGGCCTCGTCCTACTGGGACTTACCACAGTATATTGTAAATCAATCTTTATAAAACTTTACATTTATTTTAACTTTTATATAGCTTATGAATACAAATTTGATTCATCCAGTGGTCACTAACAGAATTTGAAATAATAATCAAACATCTGTAATAAAGGACTGAAGAAGAGCAGAAGGCCTGAAAATGCATTTCCTGGTATCATAAAGTTGGAAATTTAAAAAATTGTCAATTATTGGGATGCTTTTCCATGTACAATTTGTTCTCTTCAGCAAAATTTATGCTTATCATTACAGGATTTTCAATATTATTTTAGTAACTTTTTACATCACTAAAAAAATATCTTTAGTTTTAAAATCTAAATAAAAAAAACATACCTTGAATTTGATAAGATAACGAAAAACCACGTCCACCTCCTTGTGAATCAGATGTAAAGTAGAGCAACACATTTCTTGTAACTACATAATTATGTAGAACATTATCACCACAAAAACGGAGAGTTCTACTATCCTAAAAATAAAAGAATTTAAAGAAAATATTTCACAATTAAAATTTAAATAATAAACAAAATATACAATGCCATCTTCTCTAATTTCAAGGCGATCTCCTCCACACGGTATATCAAAATCATGAAAAGTTAGATGAACATGAGACCAGTATGATGCATTTATGTAAAACAACCATTTACAATGAAGATTTGGTGGATATGTTTGAGGATAATTTGGAGTTGTTAAAGTTCTATTTTCATCACTCACATAAAGTGATCCTCCACAAATTCCTATAAATATTAATATTCATTTAAATCATTTTATTATAAATATGAATGTTTATAAGATATATAGGTATTTATCTCAAAATATTTTTAATAATAAATAAATAAACAACAAAAAATACAATATTTAGAGGAATTATTTATTAATATAATTACTCAAAAAAATATTTGATAAAAATATTTGAATTTATTATACAAAAGAAATTCTTAAATTAGATATTAATTCTTTTTACCTCTAAATTACAATTTCTGGTTTTTCTCTGCAACAGCAACTACACATTTTCAAAATTTATAATTATACTAACAATACATAAAATCCACTATGTTGTTTAATTTCATCTTATGTTGTTTAATGAACAAGGCAAAAACTATAGTATTTAATTTGTAGATAATTAGGTTTATTCTAAAAGAAGATACAACAAGGACACTGTATATCAAACTTTTAATATCCATCACAATTTACATAGAAAACAATATTTTAAGCTCCTTTCAGCACCATCATAGTCCAAGTGATACAATGCTAAAACATGTAAGCTCAAGGCAAATTAAATGCAAATTTATAATAATTTAAGATTAAAATAAATAATACAATTAAATATGATAAAAACCAGAATTATTACCTAAAATTAAAGTAAACAAAAATATATATACACACAGAATTGTCATAAATGAATCGTTAATAGTAGTGATAATAAAGCTCGTATTAATTCGACATTCATTTGAGTTGAATCATTAGATTCAGAATTGTAACATATTACAGATAATTGTAACCTATGCAAATTAGATAACATGTTTTGCATCTCTCAGATTAATACAAGATCCTTTTTCTTATTAACTTCCATGATCTTTTAGATATTTATATTGTGGGGCAGGTGGCACATCAAAAAAGTGTCAAGGTTAACAACACAAAAAGAAAAAAAAAGAGCTGATTCTCATTCTTGGGTATTCTTGACATAGTTGAGCCACATGGAACCCGTTGATACCCATGCAAATTTTGATTTTTTATGAATGCACAAATCTCTTTCTATGTGAATTTGCAGTCAGTATGGATCAGATGTGTATTTTATGATTTCTGCATTACGCCAAATGATTTTGTTCTACTGATATACTGCAAAAATAGTTAGCATTGAAGAACAGTTCCTTTTCTTGCATTTTATGTCTTCTTTTTCATCTTTAATCCAATGAAGCCCAGGTTGGGCCATTGACCAAAGACCTCCATCTCTTTCTATCTTTCCACCACTCCTCTGAAAACATTACTGTTACATTGTCAGTGCTTTTTCTTAGATCTTCATCTATCTTGTCCATCCAGCTTGTTCTGTTCTCCCCTCCATCTTCTCTGATATCAACTTTGGTATTCTATTTTCTTTCATTCTCTTGGTATGTCCAAACTATCTTAGTGTAATTTGTTCCCTCTACATCCCCAAATTTTCCATTCCTGTTCTTTTCCTTATGTTTTCATTTCTTATCCTGTCTCTTCTAGTTTTACTCAGCATGCTCTTGAGGAATTTCATATCTACTGTCTGAATCTTTTTGTCTTCTCTACACGATTTAGTTCATGCTGCAGCTCTAAGTCAATATTGGGACAAAGTATAATTGATAAAGGACTTTCTTACATTTGAGTGACACTATATTTTTCCAGAATAAATTTTTCATACTCTGGTATAAGTCATCAACTTGCTGTATTCTTGTACTTATTTCTTTGCTTAACTTTCCATCCTTTGATATTTCTGTTCCCAGATATCTAAAGCTGTGAACATCCTTTAATAATTCTCCATTCAGTTCAATTTTCCCTCTCCCCTCCCAAATTCTTCTTGACATCACCACTGTTCTGCTTTTCTCTCAGTGTATCTTCATTCTCCATTCCTCTAGCTCTCAGTTCCATATAACCAATTGATATTGGACTTCTGTCTCCCCCATCAATACTATGTCATCTGCAAATAGCAAAGCCCTCAACTTCTTCCCATATACCTTTTATTACATTCTTATGTTCATCCATTGTGATTTCAAACAGAAGTGATGACAAAACACTTCCTTGTCGAAGTCCCATCTTTACTTCAACCACACTGTTTTTGCAACACCTGTTTTGACATAACTTAGGCTTGTGATATACATTGCATTTTATTAATGTTTTTTATTCTGCTAATTAAGAGTCTAGAGTAGTGGTTTCCACTACTGCCTCCTGTGGGTGGTAAGTAAATCTAGGGGGTGTAATGCTTTGTGGTTATTTGTGTATTTTATATATTTTTTTCTTCTTTATTTTTTTTATTTGTTTGATTTCCATTTGATTTTGTCACGTGTCTGTTTTTGTGAGGATCCCTCTCCGTTTCCTTCCTTGATACTGCCATTTTCTCTGCTGGGGGAATGTGTGATATGGTGATTGGCCCAAGGTGCAGTCATATGGGACAGAGTGACATCCATTAGCGGAGGTATAAAAACAAGTTGCAAACTACATGGAAGGGCTTTTTTTTGTTCATGGGACTTCTTTGTACACAAGTGACTGGAAGACGCTGCTGATTGCAAGGACAGGGATGATAGAAGTACAAGAGAATCAGTCATCCGGGAAAGGAAGAAATTTTGGATCAAAAAGGGATTCTATTTTCATTGAGAAAATATGTCATAAAGGCAAAATATCACCATCCAAACAGGGTAAAGGACTAATTGTAGTGTTGCGTGACCAACAAATTTTTAGTCCAAAGGAAAATCTTGTATGTATTTTTGTATACTCGTTTCCCCAACTTTGTATTTGATGTTACCGTAGTATTATTGTTCCCCCTTTCATTTTTTATTTCGGTCTATCAGAAAAAAGGAGGGTTTAGCGTAAGAAAGGAAGGTCAGGAGAGGGATAATCTTAGTAAGAATATCATTGTAACGTGAACTTTTGTATCATGTATTGTTCAATTAGTCATGTATTCGTCCTCAATAAACCTTCATTTATAAAACCATGCCATGAAGCCAACTATTCATTGTTTTAACTGTTCTTTTGTTCAACCCCACAGACCATGTGCTACAGGAGGAATTTACAGGGGAAAACAAAGAAGAGATCCTGTCTAAGTTTACAAACACAAGGCTTCTCTCAGTAAACTGAAGTATATTTTGCTTTGAGAGAAAGAATGACTTTATTAATTTACAGCCCCCCAAAAATCAAGTTGGTCTACTCCTGTCTACAATGCATAGCATTGATGAAATTGATCTAAAATTAGGAAATACTAAAAAAGCCATTCATTCTTACATTTTATAACTCCAGTATATGATGAGTATATGTCTAGATACTCAGTTAACAAGAACCAGTAACTATTAACTGCTTATCTTGCTTTTTACCCTTTTAAACATTACTGAGTTAAACAGCTTTATTGTTTACAAACATCAAAATAGAGAGTTCAACTTACTTTGGTAGAACTATCTCAAAGAACTCAAAATGGAACTATCCCGTAATTATTTGATAGCAAGCAATTATCAGCCAGGTCTTCGTCAACAACCAAAAAGAAACATTTAACAAATGTTGGGATGGGAAGAAGAGGTAGGACAGCCTTGAGAGGACAATGAGAGACCAAGACAATGTAGCTATTGTAATTGGAGATAAACCAAAAATAGAAGACAAACTTTTAGTCCATCATCACTTCACTTGAAAAGAACATACCATTATGACTTGCATCCAGAGTGCAACTGAAAGTATTCCCAAGTGCAATAATGACTAAGTTAAATTAGGAATTACTTACATTAAGCTTACTATCATACAAGCATTGTAAAATAGTATTTTTTGGTGCTTCACACAAATTTTTAATTCATTAGAGTTTTTTCTGTGATATTTTCATACATTACACTTTCAGTGATGTTTTTTGTACTTCTTAAACATTAAATTTTAAAAATTCTCAATATTTCATACTTTCTGTTAAATAAAATTTAATGTTTATGTTTATTTTAAATAATTTTCATGTTAAAACAAATTTCAAATGTTCTTTTTCTTATAAAAATATAAAATAATTAAAAAAATATTATTTATATATTTTATGCCCTTTTTAAATGACATAATGCCTGGTCAGAAGATGACTATGAGCAATCCAAGAATTTTTTTTTGTGTGACACCTCATGGGTTAATATAGACTTTTTTTAAAAAAAGGTTGGAAATCATGAATATTTAATCATGTAAAATCTCAAAGGGACTAAACAGACAATGCTAAATTTATTAATTCTATTAAATTAATACTTACTTTGTTCTTCTGAGTATTTTAGTTTGAAACCAGTCTTATTTTCTACATCATCAGAATGAAAATGTACTAAAACTTTATTTGTATTGCTCACAATATCATCTGGTAACTGATTACCACAAAATCTTCCAATTACAGGATCGTGGACAGAAACACCATCTATAATCTTTACAACAAAAAAGTGAGTGAATTATTATAATATTTTTTAAAACATTCAATAACCTCTTCAAATCTTTAAATGTTAGAAATACTTTTTACAAATAATAATTTTTTTCTTTATATAAAAAATAAGTTACATTCTACACAGTGTCATGGTAGTTTTATTATTCCATATTTTAATCTGTTAGTTACATAATCAAAAATAATTAAATTTAATTTTGAGTAGAAAGTTTAACTGTATATTAAGATTAAACTTAAACATTTAATTTTGTTGTTTCAAGCAGTCTTATAAAAAAATTATTCAATCAGTTTGATGAACCTTCCTACAGATAAAAAAATTATGACAATTCATTATTTGGCAACATAAATTTAAATAAAAGAAAAAACTTGTTTATACATTGGTAGTCAGAAATATTGACTCATCATTTGCCTAAAACTTTCTTCATTTAAAACCAGTTTGAAAACAAGCAAAACTAGTAAAAATAATATAAAAACTGAGTTAATATTGTAATTCATATAACAACAAAATTAATTTGGGCAAAGATATTAAGTCAGTTTTTGATATAGTAAGTATGTATGGATTAGAAGGTAGCATTCTAGTGCCTTTAGTTAACAATGTGTCATTGTTGTACCTTGTTTTGTTAAGTTATAATTTAATTTTAAAAGAAATTTAAATAAAATTTGAGGAGAAAATTTTCTTTAAATTTAACTCTGTTTAAGATCTGGCTAAAAGAACTATTGAAAAATTCATAGAAATAATAAAATATTATACCTCTAAATAGTCATTTATACAACTAGTTGTATTAGTATGAGCCTCTTCAATATCCATTAATTCAAATGTGATTCTTGAAATATTATTTGATGGTTGGATAATATGCCATATGCAATCTAAATTAGGTTCATAGAGATTATCATTATCTGCATCTAAAGAAGAAATCTCACCCTCATTATTAGTTAACATTCCTCCACAACCTTGCTGAGGACCTGTTAAAATGGTTTTAATAACATCATAAATAAATAAACAATTTGTTTATTTTAATACTAAAATACAAATAATACATACATAATACAAATTGACATAATACAAACAATGATAAAAAAAAACTTAATTTTTTAAAAGTTTTTATAAACTAACTCTATTCGGTGATTTTTTCCACAAAGTCAATTAATTATCAATACTTCATCATAAAAGCCATTTGACATTGACTCCATCAATGTATTTAAAAACTTTTTCTATTAAAAGCAATGCCAGTGATGACAATCTTTCCTCCAACTTTGCATAGCATTGATGAAATTGATCTAAAATTAGGAAATACTAAAAAAGCCATTCATTCTTACATTTTATAACTCCAGTATATGATGAGTATATGTCTAGATACTCAGTTAACAAGAACCAGTAACTATTAACTGCTTATCTTGCTTTTTACCCTTTTAAACATTACTGAGTTAAACAGCTTTATTGTTTACAAACATCAAAATAGAGAGTTCAACTTACTTTGGTAGAACTATCTCAAAGAACTCAAAATGGAACTATCCCGTAATTATTTGATAGCAAGCAATTATCAGCCAGGTCTTCGTCAACAACCAAAAAGAAACATTTAACAAATGTTGGGATGGGAAGAAGAGGTAGGACAGCCTTGAGAGGACAATGAGAGACCAAGACAATGTAGCTATTGTAATTGGAGAAAAAACCAAAAATAGAAGACAAACTTTTAGTCCATCATCGCTTCACTTGAAAAGAACATACCATTATGACTTGCATCCAGAGTGCAACTGAAAGTATTCCCAAGTGCAATAATGACTAGGTTAAATTAGGAATTTCTTACATTAAGCTTACTATCATACAAGCATTGTAAAATAGTATTTTTTGGTGCTTCACACAAATTTTTAATTCATTAGAGTTTTTTCTGTGATATTTTCATACATTACACTTTCAGTGATGTTTTTTGTACTTCTTAAACATTAAATTTTAAAAATTCTCAATATTTCATACTTTCTGTTAAATAAAATTTAATGTTTATGTTTATTTTAAATAATTTTCATGTTAAAACAAATTTCAAATGTTCTTTTTCTTATAAAAATATAAAATAATTAAAAANTATAGCTTTGCAAAGAAACATACAGGAAAATAACATTGAATATTTTTTACTTTTTAAATCTTAAAACAATTCACTTAGTCAAATAGCTCCCTACCAGTGGCTAAGGGATAGAATCATTGGAAGCATTATACAATATTTTGGTGTGTAGCATCCACCAGCTAAACTGCCAGAGGTTGGTGCTCTGTAAAGCGCATGTGAGAATGCTTGTAAATTGGCTGCTTTACATGATTCAGATATTTTTACTGTGGAAGCTGTCCTATATTCAACAATACAGCACTTCCATTGGGATATGAATACATGAATTTATATTTGAATATACAATAGCAATCTTATCGTTTTTCACATGTATAGTGGTATGTATGGTCGTTGGAATTAGATAAGAAAAGATGGACATGGATTCTCATGGATACAAGTAACAGAGCACACTTTATTGAACAAGACGATACAGGACAGAATGTGTTGCGCAGATGCACTACCAACTATATACATTTTAGAGTTCCTACAGATGGCACTGCAATACATAGCATATAGGAATCTGTAATAAAATACACATAATGCAGTTATAATAAAATATTAATTTTAAGTAATTCAAAGTAAGTTAAAATACAAAAATAATCGCACAATATGTATTTATATTTTATAAAATACAAGGGAAGTGGCATTTCCACAACCTCCAATGATGGCACGCCACTGGCATTTAGTTAAATATAAATGTATCACTTATATCATATTCTGTGATTTATAAGTGACTGTATAACAAGATGAACTATTTACAAACATCTTTGAATTACCCTGTAACTAATTAATAAAATGTCTTACCATAAGTTGTCCTATAAGCAGCTTTGAAACCTTTATCATTAGCACCTTGAATACTTCGGAAATATACAGTAAGAGAATTTTGAGTTGATTTGAAAATAGGTGGTATTTCAGTTCCACAATATCTTCCTAATATTTTTGAATAATCTGAATTATTCCCATCATAAATAAAAACAGTATCTTCATAACAAAAATTATCATCAAGTTGAAAATTCAAAAACCTATAAATAAAAGGATAGAATTTGTTATAGTAATTAAAAGAATTATACCCATGTATAAAATTAAATGAAGTAAAAAAATACAAAGTTAGACTAGTGATAAGTAGAATTAATTAATTAATAATTTGCCTAATGAAGAAACATTATCATGTTCAAATTATTTTTATCACAAAGCAGAATATTTCATTTAAATTTCATTGTAAAAATAAAATACCTTTACCTTAATTCAATAACTTTTCCTGTTTCTACAGTTATAGACCATACACATTCAATCATAAAATTCCTTGTATTACTAAAAGCAGCGTGTTTCATTTCAAAAGTTCCACTAGGTTCAGTTAAGATTCCACCACAGCCTAAATTTAAATTAATAATTTTACAACATGAGAATAATTAATTATGTACTCATAAGCTAAAATAATATTTAAATAATTAAAAACACATAAATACAATTAAAATAAAAACTTCCAGTATGAAATTAGTCACCACTTTAAAATAACACTGAAAATTATTAAATATATACAGTACCTACTTATATTGAAATTTATAAACTTTAGCAGATATTTAAATATTTTAATATCTGCTAAAGTTTATAAATTTCAATACACATCTATAATAAACACCTCAATCAAAAGCCTTAAATTATTTTCCAGTAAGGGTTAATTCAAAAAAGTTTTTATGATTAAACGTTAGTCGACAAAAGTTTTTTGAATTAAACATTACTGGAAAATAATTTAAGGCTTTTGATTGAAGTGTTTACTATATCATTCCAGTCCAATAAGTGGTATTTTATCTTTTTTAAGTATACATATCTATTAAATGAACACTGACTTTCAGCAAATAAAGGCTGAAAAAGAGCAAAGTTCTGCATCATTTTATTTGTGAGAGACTGGAAAAAATGGAAATTTTAATTAACTGCAACAAAATATATCAAATTTGTTTAAATTAATGCTTATTATATAAAGAAAAATTTTCCCAACACCAAAAAAAAACTGGAAGAATGTAATCGTATCTTTCCCCGGATCTACTTCCTTTCCCAAGGTGACACATCTTCCAAATGTATGTATCACCAGGAACTTTAATTCAAAATTCACCTATTGGTCAAAAAAAAAATTAACATGGCCAAAAACAGGCATCGAAATCAAGGGATAGGAACCCCCCAAAAAAACTTGGANAGATTGTCATTAATTATAATATTTTTTATGTCTAAGAGTGACTTGCCAATATAGTCTGAACATGAATATGAATATTGCAATTCACTATGTAATTTAGATAAATGAAAAAATTTTCCATAAAATTTACTTAATTTAAAGAATTAAAACCTGCTTCAGAAAATTGTTTTTCATAATATTTAAAATTATTAACATCTAAAAATGATAAAAATTTTAAAGTTTTTGTCTGAAAATCTGTCAATATAATTATAATTAAAAGAAAACTATAATTAAATATAGCTTTGCAAAGAAACATACAGGAAAATAACATTGAATATTTTTTACTTTTTAAATCTTAAAACAATTCACTTAGTCAAATAGCTCCCTACCAGTGGCTAAGGGATAGAATCATTGGAAGCATTATACAATATTTTGGTGTGTAGCATCCACCAGCTAAACTGCCAGAGGTTGGTGCTCTGTAAAGCGCATGTGAGAATGCTTGTAAATTGGCTGCTTTACATGATTCAGATATTTTTACTGTGGAAGCTGTCCTATATTCAACAATACAGCACTTCCATTGGGATATGAATACATGAATTTATATTTGAATATACAATAGCAATCTTATCGTTTTTCACATGTATAGTGGTATGTATGGTCGTTGGAATTAGATAAGAAAAGATGGACATGGATTCTCATGGATACAAGTAACAGAGCACACTTTATTGAACAAGACGATACAGGACAGAATGTGTTGCGCAGATGCACTACCAACTATATACATTTTAGAGTTCCTACAGATGGCACTGCAATACATAGCATATAGGAATCTGTAATAAAATACACATAATGCAGTTATAATAAAATATTAATTTTAAGTAATTCAAAGTAAGTTAAAATACAAAAATAATCGCACAATATGTATTTATATTTTATAAAATACAAGGGAAGTGGCATTTCCACAACCTCCAATGATGGCACGCCACTGGCATTTAGTTAAATATAAATGTATCACTTATATCATATTCTGTGATTTATAAGTGACTGTATAACAAGATGAACTATTTACAAACATCTTTGAATTACCCTGTAACTAATTAATAAAATGTCTTACCATAAGTTGTCCTATAAGCAGCTTTGAAACCTTTATCATTAGCACCTTCATAACTTCGGAAATATACAGTAAGAGAATTTTGAGTTGATTTGAAAATAGGTGGTATTTCAGTTCCACAATATCTTCCTAATAATTTTGAATAATCTCGATTACTCCCATCATAAATAAAAACAGTATCTTCATAACAAAAATTATCATCAAGTTGAAAATTCAAAAACCTATAAATAAAAGGATAGAATTTGTTATAGTAATTAAAAGAATTATACCCATGTATAAAATTAAATGAAGTAAAAAAATACGAAGTTAGACTAGTGATAAGTAGAATTAATTAATTAATAATTTGCCTAATGAAGAAACATTATCATGTTCAAATTATTTTTATCACAAAGCAGAATATTTCATTTAAATTTCATTGTAAAAATAAAATACCTTTACCTTAATTCAATAACTTTTCCTGTTTCTACAGTTATAGACCATACACATTCAATCATAAAATTCCTTGTATTACTAAAAGCAGCGTGTTTCATTTCAAAAGTTCCACTAGGTTCAGTTAAGATTCCACCACAGCCTAAATTTAAATTAATAATTTTACAACATGAGAATAATTAATTATGTACTCATAAGCTAAAATAATATTTAAATAATTAAAAACACATAAATACAATTAAAATAAAAACTTCCAGTATGAAATTAGTCACCACTTTAAAATAACACTGAAAATTATTAAATATATACAGTACCTACTTATATTGAAATTTATAAACTTTAGCAGATATTTAAATATTTTAATATCTGCTAAAGTTTATAAATTTCAATACACATCTATAATAAACACCTCAATCAAAAGCCTTAAATTATTTTCCAGTAAGGGTTAATTCAAAAAAGTTTTTATGATTAAACGTTAGTCGACAAAAGTTTTTTGAATTAAACATTACTGGAAAATAATTTAAGGCTTTTGATTGAAGTGTTTACTATATCATTCCAGTCCAATAAGTGGTATTTTATCTTTTTTAAGTATACATATCTATTAAATGAACACTGACTTTCAGCAAATAAAGGCTGAAAAAGAGCAAAGTTCTGCATCATTTTATTTGTGAGAGACTGGAAAAAATGGAAATNTTTTTAAGTATACATATCTATTAAATGAACACTGACTTTCAGCAAATAAAGGCTGAAAAAAAGCAAAGTTCTGCATCATTTTATTTGTGAGAGACCGGAGGAGATGGAAATTTTAATTAACTGCAACAAAATATATCAAATTTGTTTAAATTAATGCTTATTATATAAAGAAAAATTTTTCCAACACCAAAAAAAAACTGGAAGAATGTAATCGTATCTTTCCCCGGATCTACTTCCTTTCCCAAGGTGACACATCTTCCAAATGTATGTATCACCAGGAACTTTAATTCAAAATTCACCTATTGGTCAAAAAAAAAATTAACATGGCCAAAAACAGGCATCGAAATCAAGGGATAGGAACCCCCCCAAAAAACTTGGANTCAGCAAATAAAGGCTGAAAAAGAGCAAAGTTCTGCATCATTTTATTTGTGAGAGACTGGAAAAAATGGAAATTTTAATTAACTGCAACAAAATATATCAAATTTGTTTAAATTAATGCTTATTATATAAAGAAAAATTTTCCCAACACCAAAAAAAAACTGGAAGAATGTAATCGTATCTTTCCCCGGATCTACTTCCTTTCTCAAGGTGACACATCTTCCAAATGTATGTATCACCAGGAACTTTAATTCAAAATTCACCTATTGGTCAAAAAAAAAATTAACATGGCCAAAAACAGGCATCGAAATCAAGGGATAGGAACCCCCCCAAAAAACTTGGANGACACATCTTCCAAATGTATGTATCACCAGGAACTTTAATTCAAAATTCACCTATTGGTCAAAAAAAAAATTAACATGGCCAAAAACAGGCATCGAAATCAAGGGATAGGAACCCCCCAAAAAAACTTGGAACCCCCAAAAAAAAAAGATGAACATTGAAACTGACGAGTTCCGATGTTCATCTTTTTTTTTTTTCACCTGGAAAGGGAAGTTCACCGACCTCCTCCTTTCCATGTGAGTGTTCCATCGCTGATCCATTCGACTGACCTTTGCCATAGACACCTTAGAAATGAACTTTTTGATTGTGAACTGTAACCTCAAGCAGCCTAACCTACCCAACCAGGAAACCTCTCCTCTCTGTCATCAGAACATTTTACAATTCCAAGACTTTGATCAAGCCGATTCGATCAATCAAGGTATTTAACCTCACACAAAAGAATGTAAGCTCTCTCTCTTGGCTAACAGTAAAGTAACAAAAAAAAAAAAAAAAATAAAAAAATAAACNGTGACACATCTTCCAAATGTATGTATCACCAGGAACTTTAATTCAAAATTCACCTATTGGTCAAAAAAAAAATTAACATGGCCAAAAACAGGCATCGAAATCAAGGGATAGGAACCCCCCCAAAAAAACAAACATTGGAACTGACGAGTTCCGATGTTCATCTTTTTTTTTCACCTGGAAAGGGAAGTTCACCGACCTCCTCCTTTCCATGTGAGTGTTCCATCGCCGATCCTTTCGACTGACCTTTGCCATAGACACCTTAGAAATGAACTTTTTGATTGTGAACTGTAACCTCAAGCAGCCTAACTCTACCCAACCAGGAAACCTCTCCACCCTGTCATCAGAACATTTTACAATTTCAAGACTTTGATCAAGCCGATTCGATCAATCAAGGTATTTAACCTCACACAAAAGAATGTAAGCTCTCTCTCTTGGCTAACTTAGTAAAGTAACAATAACAAAACAAAAAAAATTTTATGCAAGAAAGCCTCCTGTTATGCTACTGAAGCTTTATTAATTTTATAACTCTAGAATGCTATAACGTTATCTTATGTATATGTGTAAATACTTTAATTATATACAAAAATAAACGGGTATTTTTAATTAAGTTGTAATGTGCACTTCTTTCAGCTGCATTGTCTCTCAGGACGTCCAACTCCCGAATCCGACCACTCACACACACGACAGCTCGTGTGTGAACGAATGAATTACCATCGTCGATCCTGACACAGGCATCACCAGTCTGGTGCCGACCCTTTGGTCACATATTAAAATTTTCCATAATCATATATACATGACCATGAAAAATTTATTTATATATATAGTATGATTCACATAAGATATTACAAATCAATAACTTAGAAAGTATGCTTTTAATAAAAATATTGAAAAAAATGAAAGTTTAATATATCTGACGGGCCTTTCTAATGCTGTAAAAATAAGGACTCATCCATCCACTCTTCTGAGTGGAGTGACAGCAACATTGAAATTTCAAATGAAACTTCCCAATTTTTTATTTCTGGATTCTCTATTAAAAAAGTCCCTTAACCAGCAATGAGTTGGTTAATTTTCCTGACAACATTTAAAATTACATGTGGCCATCTGTTATGATATTTTATTAAAAAAACTTTTATATTTTTAATTATTAAAAAAATGGCAAAAAGCTTAATTTTAAAGGTAGGGATTAATTTTAAAGGTTTTATAAAAAACTGTAAATACTAATAATGAGTAAAATTGTCATTAAGTATATCACCACTTAAGATATGACACAAGATCCTCTTTATCTCCCCATCCCATCGACCTATAACCACCCAAAATTTGATAACATCAATTCCCTAATACACAAACCTCCCTGAAAAATTTCCTCATAAATGTCAGACATGTGAAATGTGGTTCTGAAAGTTTCATTTGGGAAATTTTGAACTGAAAGATAAAATGTTTGGGCACCCAAAAGTTATTGACAAAGAAAAATTTCAGGAAGAAAATGTTAAAAATTGATGAATAACAACTCATGAACTTGCAACAAATTTTAATGTGGCACCAACATGATGATTGTGTTCCGTACGCATTAAGTAAAAAAAAAAACTGGATTGAGTATAATCTTTCTGACAAAGGTAGGCAGCTCTAAAGTTTTATTTTATTTTTAAATTACTTATTTTTATCACAGGAAATTTTTTATAGATGAAAAAATTAAAATTAAAATATTTGTTATTAACAGATATTTTGTTCTAGTGAGTTGTGACTGTTCGGCCAAGTACCATAGTACCACTGTATTTGATTAATGTGATTTTGATATACATGGTAATATCAAATTATTAATTAATCACATTAATCAAGGGATACCTGTATACTGTGTTCTTATATGAAAAAAAATTTGTATCTCATTTAATACATTTCATAATTCAAAAACACTGGTAAAACACAAAATAAGATAAATTATACAAAATGAAATGTTTTATGTATCAGTATAAACAACTGTTTGTTTGCAAAATAATTTAACTTGTTAAAAAAACTATATCATATAATAGAAGATTTACTTACTAGTTACTGTAAATTGAGCCATAAAACCTTTATCTACTATAATGTAATCAGAATGAAAATGAATGAGCATTGATCCTACTGTAGACACGGGATTTGGTACTTCTGTGCCACAGAAAGTCCCAACATGTGTTAAAGTTGAATTACTTTTAATCTCAGATATTTCAACATAATCAAATTTACATGCCTGATGATCTGAAGTTTAAAAATATTAATTTATTTAATTGACATTTTGACATTTTCAATTGTTATAAACAAAAGTTACAATTAAAATAATAATAATTTTTATAATAAAAATAAAAATCTTATAAAATTTTGCTAAATTTCTTTAAAACTTTTTAAAATTTTATTAAAATTTTCAAAATGATACTAAAATTATAGTCGTACATTCTATAGAAAATCTCTCATCAAACTTTAATGATATATGATCAGAAGGAGAAACCTCAATTCGATATTCACAGTCCAACTTATCAGAATAGTTTGCGGGAAATCCAGGTGAAGATATGATACCAGTTTCTTCATTAACAAATGTTCTTCCACATTCTAGAAAATATATATATTAAACTTTTAAAATAAAATAATAATAATACATAAGATTATATAAAAATATTTAAATTTGTGTATAAATGTAAATAAAGATATTAATATATAAATGAAAGACAGAGAGAAATGTAAATAATTGTAAATTATTTCCATTTCTGTCTTTCATTCATATATTAAAATTTATGATTTTATATAAAATATTATAACATTAATTAATTTTAAAATTTAATATAAAAGAAAAACACATTATAATTTGTTGAGTAATTTATCAATATAATAAATTTTAATTTAAATAATTAAAAATCTATTAAAATAAAATAACTGAAGCAAAATTTGAATTTTTATTCTCAAAAAGTATAAGACTTTGTGTTATAGTTTCTAGTACAGTGGAACCCCGGTTAACAAACGTCCTGGTTAACGACCAAATCGGTTAACGAACTTTTATTTTGCAAAAATTTTGTCTCGGATAACGAACAAAATTCGGATAACAAACGTAACGGTATTTTGTGTCAAATTTTAGTCAGTGTTAGACATGCGCGAGTTAAACATTGCTTTTCCGAGTGTTTGTGCTATACTTCTTTTTTTAAGTTTTGTGATTTATATATTTAATCAATACGGCATCAAAGAAAGAAAAAAGTCATAGTGGCAATAGAAAATGACAACGCGCTATCGCATTTGAGAAAAATTTTGATTAAAAAAATAAGACAATCAACTTTAGATCAATTTCTTGATCCTTACGGAAAGAGTTTGTTTATTTGTTAAGTTATGGCAATGCAACATTTGGGTGATCTGCCTAGGGGGAATGCTTTCTGGGAGGCGTTTTTAAGGGAAACTGGTCCCTATTTAGGCGTTACAGATGTGGAGAAAATCCGGAAAACTCAACGTGGCCAGCCCATCTGAGCGAGGTGCGAACCCACGAACGAACTCCCCATGTTCAAGTTAAGAAGACTACTTAGCCACTGGTGGGTTTTTTTACCAAAAGAGACTTTGACTTGAGGAATCTTCCAATAAAGTGCTACCCGTTATTTTTTTGGTGGGGATTCCCCTTCTAAGCGTTAAGGTTCGTATATTTCCACTTTTCTGCCACCAACTACAACAAACGAAGGTATGTACAGTGCTATTTTATTAAACAAAGTTTACATGTTTGTTGCTGTAATGACAGATACTACGTTTTCCTACATTTTCATCAAAGAAAATTACTGTATATTACAAATAAAATGACAAAAATTTCGGAGACTAGAACGGATTAATTGCATTTGCATTAATTTCTATGGGAGAAATTGCTTCGGTTAACGAACAATTCAGTTAACGAACGGAGTCGCGGAACGGATTAAGTTCGTTAACCGGGGTTCCACTGTAATGTCATCCAGATGCTGAAAGTCACATCATCTCATCCAATTTTATGACAGAAGTTCCAAAATTTGGAAGTATTAGTCAAATTCAAGATAGGTACAATAATGTGATGATTTATGTAACATCAATTTTGTATGTTAGTTTTCCAATCTTTGTACTTCAATCCTTTATTTCTTTTCTCTGGTATTTTCCTTTATTATTTAGGCCTGGGTCAGATGTTCAACTAGTTTGGGCACAGTAGGAAGCAAATAAAGGGAATAATAAATAATAAGAACAAGAAGGACATGTGTGGAGAGAATGCAAAAGTACATTTGAAAATGAAAGCTTAGCATGAGGCTCATTTTGCCCCTTTTTAAAAAAGATATAAAAAACTGAGATGAACATGGAAAAAAGTTTCAAATACTTGTGAATGAACCCTTTCATTCCACAAAAAAGTACTCAGAATCTATCAGAATCTAATGTGGCTATCTAGTACTCAGAAACACACATTGGAAAGTTTTTCAATGACTTCAATAGTTTTGAAGTCATTGAAAAACTTTCCACAAACATTTTGACATTCATTTAACCTAAAGAAAATATTTGGTGAATTATTGATAGTTCTGACCCACTACTACTAACTTTTTTCACTTCCAAGTTTCTACCTTTTTCTTATCATGTGTAAGCCTATATCCTATAAATATAGATGAATTAACAATAATTTATACAATACAGTGATACCTCGACTTACGCTACCCCGACTTACACGAACCCAGAGTTATGCGATTTTCAAATCTCGTCAATTCGTCTTTTGTTTGAGCACCACGCAACTCTTGATTACTCATTCCCTCCACACTATTGTTCAACTTACATATTCAGACATGTCGCGCAGAATCGACACATAGCTACAATTTATTTTGTGTTATTTATTTCTGTGTTTGTTATATCTANCACTTCCAAGTTTCTACCTTTTTCTTATCATGTGTAAGCCTATATCCTATAAATATAGATGAATTAACAATAATTTATACAATATATATACAGATAAACACAAGATATATGTTATATAAATATAAACATGATATAATAATATTTAATGTGGTCTGGACCAAATATCTTTTGCATTTAATTAATTTTTAACAGTGATCAGACTGAAATTATTATACCATGTTTGGTATAGATCTCTATGCAAAATTATAAAATTGAATAAATTGGCTCTTAACACATATCAACTGTGTATGAAAAATTATATTAAATTGTTAGAATGAAAAGAAAATTACAAATATTAAAAGTAAATTTTTAAATCCCACATCATGTGTTATGAATGTGTTTTTATCTTTAATGTATAATAATATCCTGTAACACGTGGTCATAAGGAACTAACATAACAAAAGATAATACAAGGTGGTTACAATTAAAGTTGCCTTTCTCAGACCTGTACAGAACCCATTCTCTTTGATGTATTTTGATTAAACTTGGTACAGTAATACCCCAAACTTACGCGATAGGTGGGACCGAGCGGTAACCGCGTAAGTCAGGGTATAATTTCGCATATAAATACATACAAATAATTTTTAATTGGGGCCAGTGACTAAAGAAAACAATAATTTTAAAAAAAATGTTTAATAAAATCTTAGATAATACATATGTATAACAAATTAGGCCTATATTATTTTCCAATTTTTCACATTTACTTGATTATTACGCCATAATTTTAACATTGTTTCCATCTCAGCGATAATACTGTGACGTTTATGAATGATGCTTGAATTTAAAGATTGAGCATTTTTCACAACTTTTAGAATTTTTTCTTTGCCTTTTATAATTGTTCTGACCGACAATTCCGGTAGATCAAACTTCTTTGCCAATTCACAAATTTTCATTTTTGTATCGAAGTCTTTAATAATGGGTACGTTCGTAAAGTCAAACAAGTTAAACGTGTTAGTAACGAATTGTTCGAAAAGTCTAATGAAATAGGAATAACGATAACTTTATTCTCGCTTAACTCGTTCAACTTTACGAACATACCCAATGTTAACTTCACATTCCAAAGATAAAGTTTTTCTTTTCTTGTTTGATACAGAAGAATTAGTTCTACATCGTTTGGATGACATAGTAGAGTCTCTCAAGTCTCCGTAGATATAACAAACACAGAAATAAATAACACAAAATAAATTGTAGCTATGTGTGGATTCCGCACAACACATCCAAACATGTAAGCTGAACAATAGTGTGGAGAGAGTGAGTAATCTAGCGTTGCGTGGCGCTCAAACAAAAGAAAAATCTACAAGATTTGAAAATCACATAACTCCAGGTTTGCGTAAGTCGGGGTATTACTGTATATACATTATATGGACCACGGGAAAAAAATGCAAAAAAAATAATTAGTTCAAATTTCTACCAATAGATTAAAAAATGGCACACGAAGAACAAGAAACACAAAATGGAAACACACAAAATGCTTTTATTTAGGAAATTTGTTCAATGTTCAATCCATTTGCATCAATCACATGTTCAAAGCACCTTACAGTGTGGCAGTATGCCATAATTTTGTATATATGCGCTAGTTGTAAGCCTAATATTAATTATTCGATCTTCTGTTCTTTGTTTCCCTATTTCTCGATGTTTCCATTCTTCACTAACTTATCGGTGGCGGGACAACACTGTTCTGAGAATGAGGTGAGAAGAACAAAGAGCGAGCACCCTGAGGCATGTGGGGTGGGGAGATAATGGTCATTCTTGACTCAAACTTGAGAGTGAGCAGATGGTGAGTGCAGAGTTCAAGATTGCTGTTATGAAGAACAGAAAGACGACGAAGTGTCTATCCAATTGGAGAAGAACTGAGTATATCTGACTCTAAATATACTATAAAAAATGCAGATCAATTGATCTCAAGATTAATGCATGGTCAAAGTAAGAAATCTTATAGATTCCTAAGTTTGGATGTAAAATCTATGTATCCTTCAATAAATTGGAATTTTATTATAGAAAGTTTAAGTAAATATAATTTACCTTGTCACATTTTAGAATTTATACAGTTTACTTTTAAAAATAATTATTTTAAAATCTCTACAGAACATTATCATCAAAGAGATGGAATAGCAATGGGATCAGTGGTCGGCCCAAAACTTGCAGACATTTGTATGGCATCATTAGATAAAAAAATATTCCACTTTCGAGGTATTGTTTTTTATACTAGATATGTGGATGACATATTAATTTTGTACGACTCAAACGACACCACAGCTGAAAATATCAAGATTTATGCAAATAGTTTAAATAAGAACATTAAATTTACCTATGAAGAAGAAAGAAATTATGAAATTAATTATTTAGGTGTCACAATTACAAGACAAAATGAAACATTGCTGTTTCATAAGTACGAAAAAGTATGTAATAATAGTAAGGTGATTAATTATAAATCATATTGTCCTATGGGAATAAAACAAAATGTATTTTTGATGGAATTAAGGAAAATATTTAACAGAACAACATTAAAAAAATATATTGAAATAGAAACTAAGAATCTTTTTAAAAAATATTTATTAAATGACAGCAGCTTATACAAAAATGGTATAATACTTATATTAATAATAGATATAATGTCAAAAATAAAAAAATAGAAAATTTATACATTAAAATTCCGTATATTTCAAAATTTTATGAAAAATATAAAAATTATATTAAAAGAATTATTTTTTGTCAACTTAGTAGGTGAACAAAGAAATAGGTTAAATAAGAGTATCTGTTTAATTAATAAAGTAAATGAGAAAAAATTGAAGAATTTTTCAGAAGTAGCATGAATTGTATATAGGCTGATGTGTACATGTACAGAACAGAAATATTATATTGGAGAAACAGGAAGAAAACTTGAAGTGAGATTGAAAGAGCATGAGGCGGCAATCCGACTAAACAGAACCGAATTCCCGTGGCAACAACACTGCAGTATAACAAACTGTATTATTGACTGAAATAATATTAAAATATTGTACAAAGTAAAAAACTTGTAAAAAAACATGTTATAGAACATTATTGTATGAAAGGATATGTAAATTGTATTAATTTAAATACTGGTGCATGTGTTGATGCATGCTGGGATAGCTTGATAGAGTATAAAAGTATTGGCAATGTAAGATTGTAACGTCCACTGATGAGGCTGATAAGCGAAATATATATGGATAAAAAAAAAAAGAAAAAAGAAAAATAAAGTGAGAAATACTAAATAGATTTCTAGTCCATCTCTGTTTTTAATTCTATCGAAATCGGTTTTAAAAAGTGAATGTCACTTGTTATTTTCTTAAAGAATTTTTTTTAAAAAAAATTTTTTAGAATTTATTATTTTAATAGTGATGATTATGTTAAATATGAATTTACTATCATAAAAAATATCAAATTGCCATACTTACTAATCCTATGATTAAGTTGAAAACCATCTGCATTGTTATTTTCATTGCTGTGGAATTTTACTCTTACAAGATTTGATCTGCTAATTATATCTGCTGGATTGTGGAGACCACAAAACCTTCCTAATAAATTCCATTTTTGATTATAATAATCCTCCACCTATAAAGTATGTAAGATATATATAACTATTATTATTATCCAGAAATGAATGTTTGTTTTTTTTGGTAAACTGTAGCACTAATGTATGTACATACATTAGGCTGAAAATCTTACTGTAAAAGCAAATAAATGTTTCTCAGCAGCCAAAAGTGCTTAGTGATGAATTAAAATTAACTTTATACAATATTAATAAACATATTTATATTAAATTTGTATTAGCTTCCAATAAAAAATTTATATTTTTACTGAAATCAATTAATTATAAAATCTTACTAGAACATAATCGTTGCAATTTTGTTCAATATCAAATCTGCCAGGAAATGATAACAAGAAATGAAAATCTGGCTTTGTTTCCAAAATCCATATACATTCTATATTATTCGGATAACGACTATTTGTTTCTGATGTTGGTGAAAATATTGTTCCTTGATCACTACTTGTTTCATGTCTAATAAAACCACCACATCCTGTAAATTATGCTTAATTTAATTTTCTTTTTTTAATTACTCTTAAAAATTAAAATATTAAATTAGGAATGTTTAGATTCAATGTTATCATAGATAAAAATTTAATGTAACATACCATGATGAACAGTTGATGTTAAAAACTTAAATCCTTTTGCTGATCCTATGTTATCAGAGTGAAATAAGACAGTAAGATAATTACTTTCAGAAATAATTTCATTTGGATGGTTAGTTCCACAAAGTGTATGGCTAGTAGGTGAATCCCACCATTTTCCATTTATTAACTTAACAAAATCTTTGTTGCAATCATTTTCTAATTGAAAATCCACAAAAGTTAACTAAAAAATATAAAAAAATACATTCTAAAATATAATTTAAAATTTTAATAAAACATTTAATTAATTTTAATTATAATTTCAAATTTTTATTGAGGCAGACCATTAGTGAAGCCTCTTCTATGTGGCTTACAGAATTGTGTTCATTCTCAAAATTTGATCAATTGATTTTAATTAAACTTTGCCATTTTCCATTAATTGGAATGAGGAATTCAAAAATGTAATAAAAAATGGGGGTCTGTGACTTCATTTTTGAGATACAAGGACATAGAACAAGTGCATGTGACAAAGCAATATTGCACAACTTTGTCAGGTGATGTCCCAAAGTCACTAGCCTATTTATAGGCTTATAGGATATTTTTCTAAAATTTGATGGCCTGATTTTGATGAAATTTTGTCATTTTCCATTAATTGTGATGTGGAATCCAAAAATCTAAATAAGGGTCCATTTAAATGTAAAAAATAGCAGTCCATGACTTCATTTTCAATATACAGTGGAGTCAAAGTTACAATGTCGGTGCTTGCTGATGCAATTGAGCATGCCTAATGCAGTTTAGGAGAAAAAAATAAAAAACAGCATTGTGTACCTCTAATGGAAAATAGGCACAAAAAATGAACAAAACACAAGAATAAAGCAACTGATAGTGATCGCTTTGTTCTTGGATCACCTCTCCATGTCGGCAAATCCAAGAACGTCTCTCCATACCTGGCCAGCGCAAGGAATGCATCTTCTGGGACTGGGGCCAAGCAGGATTATGGAAAGGCAGAGGCAGGAGAGTATGTTCCAGGGCACTTTGATGATGGGGTTCCAAAATTTCAAAATTATTACATGGGCAAACTAATAAATTCATAGCAAACTGTCACACACAAGTATGAAAAATTATATTATGAAATATAATATGCATTATACGAGTATTAATAAAAAGTGATTTTACAATTTTTAAATTTATAAGAGACTAATAAAAAGCTTATCCAAAATGCACCATATTTAGGTTTGTTCCTGATGCAAATACTCCAGCTACATATAATAGGTACAGTGGCAAGGGCAAAGTTCACCTGTTTATGACCATCAAGTATACAGAATTGAGCCACCTCTTCTGTGCCTAATAAATGCAAAGATCAATTTTTTCTTTCAAGCTCTGTCTCATTTTTATCATGATATGACAATGTTGAGTGATGTCCTAGTTTTTAATTACAATTAATGGCTTTAACAAAAACACCCAAAAACATATAAAATGTAAATTATTAGAACTCATTTGAGTTTTGTTTATTTATATAAAACTTCTATTATATATTTATATTGTGGTGATACACCAGTTGTTTTTTTTTATATTTGTATTTTGTATTAAGCCTAAGATTAAGTTTCCTCAATCTTTTGTCTAACACTTTCTCGAACTTTCTAACGGTCCTTATTCCCTGCTGGTGGTAAAACATTTCTGAGAAATACAACGAAAAACAAGGGTGTGGAAGAGGCCCCGAGGCAAGTGAGAGAAAGGGTGAGAGGGACTTTGGAGCTAGTGCTGGGACAGGACGGACAGTGCGAGGAGATCCTGGTCGCCGTAACGAAGGAGAAGGGAGCGATTCGAGGACAACGAGAGCGAGATATCACGGGAAGGAAGGAAGATCACGGTAGTTCATTTTTCATCGATGTGAGTGAAAATCTGAAGAGAAAATAAGAAACACGGGTACCCCACCAGCAGTCTTCCCTTTTTCCTATTCATAATATTAATATTTTCCCTTCATTCTACTGTCTAATTTAGTATATAGATTAGGTTAAGTTAGGTTAAGATAGGTTAAATACAATTCTACATTGTCGCGAAGTACTGTTGCACTCTCTTTCCGATATAGTTATATGTTACGCGAGTTGTATGTATCGGAGTTGGGATCACTAAGAATATTGCATACTTGCACGAACAACAATAAAACTATTGTTGTAGACCACTTTCTTTGTGTTGTCCATCCACGTGCTCTCCACAATATAATAAATATATAATAGAATATATAATAAATATATAATATTCTTTAATATTATATTATATAATAAATATATAATATTCTTTATTATATATTTATATAATAAAGAGCTCTCAATGATAACTCAATAATTTTATTTTATAAAAAATATAAAATTAATTAGTGGGTAAATATAACTTAAGTCACAAATGCCTACTATTCAGCAAAAACTTGTGAAGAATAAGTGTTTTTGACCTTTTTAAACTGTCAGCATCAGATTCAAGATTATATATGGATTGGAAACTTGTAATATTAGTAGGGCCTACTGGAAGTTTTACAGGGCTTTGGGAAAAAATTATTAGGGAGCCCTAAAATATTTCCAAACAAAAATTTTCTTAGTTTATTCATTCTTGTCCAGCTCACATTATAGTATCAAAACTTTCACCTTTAAACTGAAAATTTTATTTATAACTGTTACAAAATGTTTTTCAGGCCTATTTATGAGCCATCCTCAGGTGTTTTATCTTTCTGTTTTAGAATAACCAAAATTCTCTGAATGCTTTCAAATCAAATTTTTAAAACTCAAATTTTACAATCAAATCATGTATGATTGAGGCAAAAAAGTAGTAGTGTTTTCTTTTAATTTGTCATAATTTCTTTTTTGATGGCGTATCTCTGCACTGTCAGGGTAAACAGAAGAGATATGAAAACTTTCCCAAAGTGTGGAAATGTACCATCATCAAATGAATTAGTACAAATTTTAAAAAAAATTCAACTACTCATTTGCCTCAATGTTATATGATTCAATTGTAAAATCTTATAGATTCAAAAATTTGATTTCGAATTATTTGGAGAATGTGGGTTATTCTAAAACAAAAAGATAGAACACCTGACAATGGCTCATAAAGAGGGTCAAAAAACATTTTATAATGATTCTAGATAAAATTTTCTAGTGTAGAAGCGAAAACTTTGATACTAAAAACATTTTTTATTAAAAGATTATATAATCTTATTAAACATAATTTACAAACATTAAATACATACACTTGACAAAGAATCATAGAAAACAAAAAATTATATTATCAAATTTTCTTAGAAATGTGAATATGAGGGGCACCTCTGAGTATGGAGTCTTGATCTGAGCCTCAAAAGTCAGATGTCTGACCCATCTCTAGATATAAGATAATTGTTCTCCAAAAGTTCTTGGTGAATTGTGAGGGATTTTGTAAAAACAATGTTGTTTATCAGTAAATGGCTTTTTAAACAATTTTATATAAAATTTGGTAAATGAAATTACTAGAAATTTATTTTCAAAATTATTAATTCAAAAGAATTAAAAAATTAATAAATCAAAACATACAATCTTAATAATAATATATGTACAGTTTAAGCCAACAACTACCAGATTATATCGGGCTATTATATTGCAATTTATTTTAAATTATAATTTGTTACTAGAGTGAGGCATTAGGCACCATCTCTTATTAGATTTAATAATTATAATTAAATTAAACAATTTTAAAACTTCTGGAAGATTTGGCCTGGAGCAGGACTTGAACCCACAACTGCCACTTACTGTGTGGATGAGTTGTCAGTTATGCCACCTAAGCCTCCATTCCAATCTCCTCTCCCAGATATATTACTTACCTCTTAATAAATAACCGCGCATGATATAATCCAGTAGATGTTGGCTTATTACATATGTACAATAGTACACTGGATTTGTAGAGGTTGATTTTTGTATACAATATATATACCATGCCAGGATTGTGCAATAGCTGGCTGAGTGCCAAAGGTGAGTGTCTACAGGACACAGACACTGAATATGTCTCTAGCTGGCTGCATATGTAACCGATGATAATTATGTCATGTTTTAATATATCTGGAAGAGGAGATCAGAACTGAGGTTCGGGTGGCGTAACTGGCAACTTGTCTGCACAGTCAATGGCAGTTGCAGATTCAAGTACCATTCCAGGCTGATTCTTTTCTTCCAGAATTTTCTAAATTATTTAATTTAATTATAATTATTAAATCTAATATGAGATGGCACCTAATGTCTCTATCTAGTGACAAATTATTTAGTAATTTAAAATAATCACAATATAATAGCCCAATCTAATCTGGTAGTTGTTAGCTTAATACATATGTACATCAGGTTTATAGAGGTTGGTTTATGTATATGTATAGTTTTTCAATTCTTTACATTTTTGCAAATACATAGACAAGATTAGCAGATTTAATGAGCATAACATAACCACACACAATATCTAAACTTAGAAATATTATTTTAATGAACTTAATCGTTATTAACATAAAAAATTATGGTAATAAAATTGTTGCATTTATTATTTCAAAACTCAACTTTAGAGTAGAGATTTGTAGTACTGTGAAATCAATGAATCTTATCAAATAAAAAACTTATTTCATATTATGATGAATCTACAACATAAAATAAAGCTTAAAATAAACAAATGTGGTGAGCACGTGGTGATGATTGAGTTCTCACAAAGAGACAGGAATATAAAACAATAAGACGTGCTTTATTTTACTTTATGAACATATATACAGGAAAGGTTTGTTGATTCCGACCTCCTTGTTCCTCACTTTAATTAAACAAAAGGGAACAGATAACACCGACTTTTAATTAACAGCGGAGCTAAACCTTTCTTTCGCGTAACAAAGGAGACACTTAATTACTAGCTTAAAACTACTTATAACTAGAAGAGGAAAGGAAGAACAGGAATTAGAATAGGATGGGAGAATGGAAATGGAAATTTTTTTGTAAGGAACGGGTACCCAAATGGTTGACTGAGGTGGTGGCCACTAGATGATTTCGTCTTGGAATTCTTTTCTTCTATGGGGACGGAGCACATGCGAGGACCCAAAATTCGCCCTTTAGTCTCTGTTTTTCCAAAGTTCTTTTTCTCTTCCAATGCTACTTCTTTCTTTAGTGTTCTTCGTAACCCTTTCGGCCGAAGCAACACCGAACTCGAGACCGCTCTCTCCCACGGTCTTTCCTCCTCCGGTCCAAAGCCAAAAAGTGTCCTTCTCGTCCCCCACTTGCCCTCTGGGCTGCCTTCACTCTTTTGTCTCGAAATTGGGTCACTGACCACCCACATTCAGACGAAAGTTCCAGAAAGTATAGAAACAGAACAAAGAGAAAAGGGAATAGAATATTCTTATATATACATATATAAAATAAAAACAACAAAATATACTGGTGTACCACCACATACGCCCTTCCCTTATAAACTATTTACTGTAGTGAAGCTTACGGTAATCCAATCTATGTCCTCGTAAGTTGTACCATTGAGGTGGTGGAGAGGGGTTTGGATTAACATTACGATTATCAGTGGCATCATGTTCCTCATTTTCGCTATGTCGACCACTGTCTTGATTTTCTTGGAATGTTGCTCTTGGTAATGGCATAATACATCCGCATACATCATCTTCGTCCATACCGTTAGTTGGTTCTTCCTCCCCTGTCCTATCGGGAGGTTTTCTCATCCTTCTTCTCGTACCATTCTCATACATAGGGAAGTAACATGGTTTTAGTCTATCAACGTGCACAATACAGGTGTTCTTTTCCCGATCGTCACCGATTTCCATGGTAACAGGACCTAACTTACGTCTTATCCTAAATGGGCCCAAATACTTGGCCGAGAATTTTCCGTGACTCTTATTTCTTCCCTTTCGCAACAGCCATACCCTTTGTCCTACTTTCCAATCAGAATAACCCCTTTTGTTGTTAATACGTTCCCTATTATAATAATTCCGTTTCCTACCTAAGTCATAAGCGGCTTTCCGTATGGTATCTAACCTGTCTTTAAAGGTAGTATCTAGACGTTCCTCCCGGTCATCATCAGATGATTCGTCGGGGAACGCTACAGGGAAGTGAGGGTCAAAACCATACAGCAAAAAGGCTGGGGATTCGTTTGTAGAAGTATGAGTTGCATTGTTGTAAGCGAATAACGCGGGTGACAAAAAGATATCCCAGTTACGGTTATCCCCCTGTGAAATGCGAGCCATAGTGCCAACTATGGTTTTATTGAAGCGCTCACAAATGGAGTTGGCACATGGCCGATAAGCCGTGGTCACATTATGCTTGACTGCTAGTAGATTACAAACGTCCTGGAATGTTTTGGATGTAAAATTACTACCGCGGTCGGAGATTAACATGCTAGGGCAGCCGTATCTACAAATAATATGATTAAATATGGCCTTGGCTACACTTTGCGCCAATTGGTCTTTCATTGGTACGGCTTCAGCAAAACGTGTGTAGACATCAATCATTGAAAAAATATACCGATTTTCGCTCTGTGATCTCTGGAGGGGGCCAATGATATCTATCGCTATTTTCTGGAATGGAAAACTAGCAACTTCAGTCTCCTGAAATGGGGCACGGCCACGATGGAGGTTATATTTTTGGCAGACCTTACAATTACGGATGATGCGTTTTACGTGCGCGCGGAGGTTTTTAACGAAGTAGTATCGATCTATCAGGTTGCAAGTTTTTTCTAAACCAATGTGACCTGACAAGGTGGAACAATGAAATGCCCATATTAACTCCTTGACTACACTCTCTCCCACGCAAACTTGTTTCCATTGACAGAGACCGAACTGCCCTAGTTTTTTGTGAATCAAAACATCGCCTTCTAGCGAAAATTCCGGCGGAATGTTATCGTTGTCGCCTACTGGATTATGGGCTTGGTTGGAAAAATGGTGTTTTAAATTTTTAAATACTTTATCCTCCTCCTGGGATTTGATAATTTTTTCCATAGATCGGAATTAACAGAGACGACATCACACGCGTGCAGGTCATTAATATGTATAGCCTTTTCAGGCCTCGACAATAAATCGGCTACAAAATTCCTATTACCCTTTATATGGCGTATGTTAAGGTCGTAATCCACTAGCTCAATCGACCAACGCATAAGCCTCTTATTATGGTTCTTCATACTCTTTATGAATGAAAGGGGCTTGTGGTCGAAGTGAACTTCAATTTGTTGTCCCAATACGATGGGTCTAAAATGACGGAGAGACAATATGATAGCGAAACATTCCTTTTCCACCGTGGAATAATTCAGTTCTGCCCTGCTAAATTTTCTACTAAAGTAACCCACCGGGGAAAATTCATTTTCAATTAACTGACCTAGCACCGCCCCAGCGCATTTGTCCGATGCGTCTGTGAACAAATGGAAGCGGGAAGAAAAATCAGGATGTCTCAGCAAAGGTGGGTTGGTGAGTAACTTTTTAAAACGATCGAAACTAGTTTGACAGTCCTCATTCATCGGTTTACTGAGATCTTCGGTGATTTTCGGGATGTCCTTAATGATGTCCATCCCTAATATAGCCTCGTATTCCGCGGGTTCAGGGAAGGGCATACACGGTATGTTTACGTGGTGTTCTACCTCTTTATAACTTACGATGACACTAACGAGTTGTTCGCACTCTGTTACCACCCCGTTTATGCCCCTTATTCCAAGTTTTTCTTCATTAGCTTTAGCTCTCTTGATGCAATCCGGCGGTATACGTTTTAAAACTAAAGGGCTTATCAAGGACTTTTCTGCTCCAGTATCTATGAGCAGGGTTACGTCTAGATTATTCATTTTACCCTTAATGAGTGGGAGGTATTTATCAGAAAAAAATACGCGCGTAGCCAGGTTTAGTTTTACACTAGGAGCGCGATACTGGCTATCATAACGCTCCATTACAAGTTTAAATTCGCCCTTCGATGGTTTGGACAATCACGAGCAAAATGCCCCCGACGCCCACAATCATAGCACTTTATATCCGCGTTTCGGTGGTCCTTGTCTTTGCTACTACTAGCGAACTTTTCAAAGGCTTCAGCTAGGGCATCAACCCTTTTTTCCAGTCTGTCGATCCTATCACCGTGACGAACATTTGACACTAATATATTATCTGGTTCGCTGTTAACTGGTTTTACGTTTTCCTCCACTATAGAAAAAACCCCCCTACGTTCGGTATGGTTACTGCAATCAGATTCGATCTTATCTTCGATTTCCGAAAATTCAAAAGCCTCCTCCAGAGATTTTGGGGATCGCCGCAATACATTCCCTCTTATCCTTCCGTTCAAACCTAGAATGAACCTTTCCTTAATTATATCGTCGCGCAATGAGTCAATCTTAGCATGATCCTTTACAGCGCGGGACAACAGAGTTTTAGTCCGCACGGCAAAGTCCGTTACGGATTCGCTCGCACCTTGTTTTAAATTTAGCAGTTGGTCTAATACTTTCTTTTCTCCAGTTCTCTTTCTTTCAAAACACTTCGTTAAATCGCGTCTAATATCTTCGTACGAACAAGGATACTGTTCTAACAGGCAAAAGAAAGTAGAAAGAGGTTCCCCCTTTAGTCTTGCTTGTAGTACTGCTATCTTTACCCTATCATTCCATCCTGCTAGGGTGGCAATGTTTTCAACGGAAAAAAAAAACTGTTTAATATTTACAGAGTCACCTTGAGTATTAGAAAACGTGGGAATCATCCCCAAAAACCCTGTTACAACTAACGGAACACCGTCATTAGATCCGTTACCATGGATCGTACTGTCTACAGGATTGTTTGTAGCCATGATATATATATATATAAAAAAAAAAAAATAAATAACTTCTACGGACTAAAATACGTGTACAATCGAAAGTTCTGCAGATAACGTAAGGACAAGGAGATTTTACTGTCGGAATCCTGTCGCGGACGCCATTGTGGTGAGCACGTGGTGATGATTGAGTTCTCACAAAGAGACTGGAATATAAAACAATAAGACGTGCTTTATTTTACTTTATGAACATATATACAGGAAAGGTTCGTTGATTCCGACCTCCTTGTTCTTCACTTTAATTAAACAAAAGGGAACAGATAACACCGACTTTAAAGTATAGAATATACCAGAAAGTATAGAAACAGAAAGTATAGAAATACCAGAAAGCATAGAAACAGAACAAAGAGAAAAGGGAATAGAATATTCTTATATATACATATATAAAATAAAAACAACAAAATATACTGGTGTACCACCACACAACTATACCTTTATTTTAGATCCATGTTCAACTTCAAAAATCCAATGACAATCGGTATTAGGTGGATAATTGTTAGGATAAGATGGTGATGAAATATTAGATTCACTATCCTCAATTATTCCTCCACAATCTATTTTAAAATGCAATAATTTTATTTAATTTATTCTAAATTACAATATTCCCTTTTAAAATTTAATAAAGTAAAAAAATTGTAAAAATTGTTTCTGTTATAATTTTCATATTTTAACTGCGTTTCTTTACTGAAATATAATTTAAAGTTTCATTTAATGACAAAGTTCCTTAAAATAATGTAGTATATTAATACCATTTTGATTGTGTATAGTTTTTAGAATAGTGTAGTTTAATATAGGATGTAAGCATTAGTATTGTTTCCCTCTTTGATTTCATATTTTTTTTGTACTTTCCCATAGCAACCTGGCATTGAGACCACCAAGAAGAGAAGTTGGTAGGTGACCATGTAGTTATTTATAGCCATTTTATAAATAGTTACCATATAAGATTATTGTGTGAACCTATCATTTTGTTTTGTTATTGATAAAATTTGTTATGTCAAATAATGTGATTTTGTTAATTTCATTCCTTTTTTCTGTTTTCTTCAATTTTTTTAGTTAAATATTCTCATTACCAGTCTTTATTGTAGTCTTGATGCTGGAATCATTGATAGAATATGGTCTTATTGATTTAATTTGAGATAGTTACACGAATGAGAGGTGGTTGATATGTTTACATGCAATGCCATTGGTTGAAAGAAAAATAAAGAGTCAAAAATCATGTGGAAGAAAGCTTTTATCTTGTTTCTGGTTGTAGAGAGAAGCATTTTCAGATTGTGAAAAAATACAGGTTTGTTTCTGATCTAAAGAAGTTTATAAGGCAGATATAAGTAAATAAGAAAAGGAAAGGTGTTACTGAAAAACATAAAAAACAACTGTCCTTAAAATTTTTTTATTAAGTTTCATGGTAAACATTTAGTTATTGGACCCTACATATCACTATTCTAATTGTGGCCAAGTAAATGGATCTAAAAAATCTTCAAGCTTTGAACCAAAGAGTCATTGATAACTGTTTTATGTGAACGGGACTAACACAAAGTATGTTACACAAGGAACAGACTTTATTTTTGCATTCAAACAAAGAATTTACAGGCCCCAATTCTCATACAATTCCCAGATTTACCTTTCTGATAAAAGTATATACAATGAATTCTTCATGTGTGGGATGTTGTTACAATTAACAATTTTTATGAATCTAATATATGGTAGTACAGATTTACAATTACAGATCAAATTCTTAGCCTATAACTTAACCTACTTAGCACTAACTGAAAGAAGTAGGTATATAGATCAAAGATAAAGAAAAGGAAGGATTCATAGAAAAGGAGTACCCAAAATCTAGATGAATCTTTCGATATGCTGACTCGGTTCCGATTCTAACATTCTTACAGATGTGCTGCTCTGAACTTTTTATTCTTCTCAAAGTATAGGATTTTCTTTGAGGAGTCTTCCATTTAAGTCTTGATTATGATTTTCTTATAAGTATCTTACTCTGATATTGCACTCTCCAGCTCTTGTCAATGCCGAAATGACCTCTTGCCTCCTTGGTGCCCAGCCAAAAAGTGTCTCAGCAAAACAAGTTTTGCCCTCAGGACTTCCTGCATTCTATTGTTTGTCATCCCACACCCTGGTAGAGAAGAGTTGGGTCCAAAAATTCTTGGAATACAGAAAACAAAAGACACACAAGAACAAAGGGATAGAGAAAAATAATTAACAGAAATAAGACATGAAATTAACTCTATACATAAAATATGGCATACTGCCACATAATACAAATTATCAAACAAAGACTCTTTGGGTATACTTGGACTTATTGTGAAGGTTCCTGTTTTATATACTGTCTCACTACTGAATTTTTGGATTAAATTTTCACATCCTAGAATTATTTAATATTACTAGAAATTATTATTTTAATCAAATGGTATTCAAATTACTTAATTTTATCTGTATATTATATATGAACATTTTCTAATAAAAATACAAACTGATATCATTTGAAATATTATAAGAACTAACTTTGAATACTATACGATGCATTAAATCCTCTGGCAGTTCTATTTGAATCTGTATGAAATGATATCAATAAACCTGAAGATGGAGTTGTAACAACAATTTTTTCATTAGTACGATTTCCACATAATCGTTTAGAATTTCCAATTACTTCTGTAAGGTCACCTGAAATAATAAAATAATACAGATTAAATTTGGAAATTTTAGCTTTTTAAATTTAAATATTTAGAGTAACTTTTATTATTAATTAGATTATTTGTTACTTTTCTACATTTGGAAATTCAAAAAGATTACAAAAGTTATTTATAAAATAATACATTTTGTAACTTTATTACTAAAATATATGTAATTAATGTTAATAGTTAAAGCTAAATAACTTATTATATTAAACTATTTAATATTTATATTCCTTTTAAATATATGTTTTAGATTTTTTTATCTTTATATCAGATTTACTAATTTATAGATTTTATAAACAAATATAAAATAATATATAGTTGAACATAATCCAAAAGAAATTTCTATTATTATTATTTTGCAATGACATAAATACTATAAAATATTTATGTTTTACTAGCAGATAAGCCTAGTGTTGCTTCGGCAAAAAGTAACGATAGCGAAGATTAAGATTATTACATTACAGCCAATCTTACTTGTTTTCACAGAATGCAAGAATTAGGTTCCCCTGTTTCCAGACTAATTAGAAAATTTTTAGGTGGGTCTAAAATTATATTTGATTTAACGCAAAAAACTGCATCTGTGCCTGTAAATCTTGCACGTTGCTTTCTCTTAATTAAATGTACTATGCCACAAACCTTTGCGGGAGTATATTAAACAACTTCCCAAAGTTTCATGGCAATCGGATAAATGGTGTAGTAATGCATAAAGGATACACAGACAGACATACATTCGTCTTTATATATATAGACTAGCTTACCCGTCGCGCATTGCTGCGATCTTAGAAGAAAGGAAATTCAAGCAAACTCGTTATGATAAAATTCAATTTACATTTTATCATTTTTATTGAAACTTATTATTATTCATTTTCATCGGAAAAACATTTCAAAGTGTCGTTTCAATTCTATTTATTTATTGGAGCGCTTGTGGATACACGATATTCTTTGTTTTTCTGTCTGGTGTGTACACGAATAAATCAGAAAGTTTTCCGACGTGTGAGCTGGCCACATACAGTTGTACTGTACATGCGAGAAGCACGGATTCTCTGAATTTAGCCCACACAGTTGCAGCGATTGTCAGAAGTGCGATATTCCCCATTTATATATATATATATATTTTAATCCTTTATAATTTTAATTATTTAATTGCTCCTTCTTATCTTCCTTGGCGTGTTGTGAAATTTCTGATAGTTGGATAATAAACCATTTTATTGTAATTTGTCTGTTTAAATTATTTTGAGTCGATATTAAAATTTGGAAAAGAGGGGATACCTAGATCGGTAAAATATGCGAATTTCCCCTACAACTTCGCTTGTTGTTCCGGGTACAGTTAAGGTTCTAACGAAGTTCGAGAGAATACGTAATTAAAAAAAAAGTTGAAATAAAATGATTAAACAAAAATTATTACAAATATCGTAAATAACAGTTCACAAATGCATATATAGAGATAATTTTTGAAGGGGAGGAAATGGTCTTAACAATTTGAAATAGATCAGACACACAGTGTTCGAATGCTCGTGTAAACGCGCGCCATCTATTGTAGGATAAATGTACTATGCCAGAGTGTATTAAAAAAACTTCCCAAAGTTTTATGGCAATCGTACTATGCCACAAACCTTCGCGGGAGTATATTAAACAACTTCCCAAAGTTTCACGGCAATCGGATAAACAATCTGGTAATGCATAAAGGACAGACACACATACATTCATTTTTATATATATAGATAACTGTAATATTTAAAATTTTATGTAATCACATTGATAATCAGTTATCAGAAAATTTTTCACTTCTATATTAGCTAACAGATTTCAAAAGTGGTTGGATACAGAAAATTTAGTATCTAAATATCAGTTTGCATATAAGAAAAACANTACTTCATGATGAGATCAAAACCTGATTCTAACCATCCAATCCATTACTTAATGCTGATTGATGGCTTTCTTAACAAATTTACCAACTAAAAGAAAAATAAACTTAAACATATGACTGTTGGTAGGTTAATAATTCTATAACAACCAATAAAATTGCCACAAAGCGAGCTGACACTATCCTCACTGTTAATGCAAAACCCTGCCAGATGAATTTGATCAATCTTAGGAATGCTAAATTGCCACCTTGGGACTTGGATGCAAAATTGGAAGCCATTAAGAGAGAGGACTGATTGAAGGTGCCTCATGATACCAGAGAATAAGTAAATGCAAATCACTTGTAAATGGCCATGAAAACACTTGCTGTACAGATGATTTTTGTATAGAATGCCAAATTTTGAAAGAACTCGTTGTATTTTAATTGAATAAATCCATCAATTTCAACAGGTTCCTGCTAGTTACTAAATTTAATTTAAAATAATAATTACACATATTTATGAACTATTCAAATTTTGTAAATTAAATGTAAATATTAATAAATACAATTTATTGTTTTTATTNTGTAAAGTTTAATTCTTTTGGTTTAATGTATTTTTTGTTAGACTGAAGAATAAGCAATATCTTAATTGCAAGTATTTATTAAAAAATTAAATCTTAGTCTATTAAAATATTGAAATCTTAGTCAGGATTGTAAAAACAGAAGTACCATAAATAAACTCTTGGTGTCATTTCTCATTAACCTATAACCCATTAATTGTCAATGAGGTAGGTCTACTAACTAGTTTACTAGCACAACCAGTCATATAATATCAATCAACTATAACTTGTAATTGGAATTTAAGATCAGCATATAACCCACCCCATTATACAGGGTGAGCCAACGAAAACGAAACGGCAGAGATATCGCGTTCGTCCAAGCAAATCGCTCGGACAGGTCGATTTTATTCTCGATGGGGACATCTTCAGCAATAAAGTTTTTGCAATTCTGAATACAACAGACAACAAAAAATTTTAAAAACTCATTCATTTTTTATTAACTAAACAAACATTTATTTCAAATAAAGTAACAAAAACTTTCAGAATCGCAAAAACTTAATTGATGAAGATGTCCCCCTTGAGAATAAAATCGACCTGTCCGAGCAATTTGCTTGGACGAATGCGATAACTCTGCCGTTTCGTTTTCATTGGCCCACCCTGTATAATCAGCACAAATCTGCTAAAAAAATACCATTATAAACTTTTGAGATGTATATTCCTTCCCTGTGTGGAAGTTGATTTACAATTTTTAATTTTACAACTCTCTCTAATACAGTCTGTCTTTCTAACACCACCCCAATTAACACTTGGATGGCAGTCCTCTTGCTTTTAACAGCTGTGAAGGTCAGTTAGCCTAAAGATGCCCATTTAACACAGTTGGAAATGTTTGATTTTTTAAAAATTTGTGCTGGAAATTGGTTTCATTTACTTTGTTTATTAAATAACCCAGTTTTGATTAGTTGATTATATAATCAGTACCCCTTTCAAATTATCTTTCAAACACAGATGAGCTATACACCTAAAATTACGGTTATATCAAATAATTATTTAAATAAAAACATTTCTAAAAGTAAACATACCATCTTGAATAACAACAAAATCATTTAAACAAGTTAAATTTGGATTAATATCAATATCAAGAATATCAAATCTAACTGCTAACGTTTTAGCAACATTTCCATCATTTCGAAGTCGCCAAGTGCATTCCGCATTATTGTTGTAAGTTCCATTTTCAAAACCTGGTGAAGAAAATACACCTGATGGAGAGAGTAGTTTACCTCCACATTCTGTAAAAATAAAATAATAAAAGATTAACAAAAATATTGAGTAATTAATTGGAATCTGATCTATTCTATAGTAATCATTTCATATTTTTATCCATTTTTTAATATATACAAACAAACCAAAGCCAGAATTTTAAAAAATCATTTTTTAATTAAATTAAATTATAGCACAAAAAATAATATTAAATTATATAAAATAATATAACTGATTTTTTCATTGGTTGAATTCATTTATACAGTAAAACTTCTCTAACTCAAACATCTTTAACATGAATATTTCTTTAACTCAAAGAATATAAGACAACTCGGTAGGTTTCAATGGAATGGCATAGTGATTTAATGTCTCCAACTTGAATTTCCTAACTCAAATTTTCTCCAAGTCAAAGTTTTTCATGGTCCCCTGACACTGCTTTCTGTTACTTTCAAGTTCCCTGACTCAAATTTTAATATTTGTTTTATTCAAAGTGATTCCAATTATAAGTTTTTCATGAAATTTTCAGACAATTAGTTGTTTTTACTGTCCAACACCCACTTGAAGACAATATTCCAGTGCAAAGCAAGAGGTCCTCTCACTTTACAGTATCTCAACAAGATACACCTGCAAAACTGTTCAATTCCATTAGTTACATTGATCATTTTGGTGAAAGGCATTAGACAGGCTATTTAAAACAAAAATACTGTCAAAGATTCTTCATATGATGAAGATGGGTAAAAATACAAACCTAATCGGAAATTTACTACACCGGGTTACAATAAATACAAAATCAACGTACCAGGAACCTGTTTCCGGTGTGCTTCTAGGTAAAACCAAAGTGTTACAAACGTTTTCGAACTTCTAAGTTCTTCTTCAGGTAACCGACATCTAAGCGAATGTCATTCAAATTCAATTCAACAAAAAAGAACACCATTAAGAACTCTATCGCACGTATCGATGGCGTCATTGACGCATGCGCCCCTTTTGCTGGTTGTAAATTATCATAAGTTCTTGTCTACGAGCACCTGCCATGCCATTGACAGAGTGATTTCGTCTTTGCTGTTAATACAATTGTCGTCTTTTAGTGTAGTCATACATATGCAGTGGTGATATTCAGCGGGTTCGCACAGGTTCGGCCGAACCCGTTGTTAACATTTTCAAAGTTTTCCGAACCTTGTTAAACACATGTAACATTTCTCAATGGTTTGATTCTTTTAAAAATATTAAAATATACGTATTATACTCTGTAACACTACTAAACTAGAGCCTTCCGATGCACCATTTGAGCGAAAAAAAAATTGTTAAGGAAAAATTTTCTGTTAGCGAACCCTTTGTTAAATATTTCGAATGTCATCACTGGA